ACACACACACACACACACACACACACACACACAAAATATATTATAAATACTTGGACGACACAAGAAAGTGGAAAAGCTTACTTCCACTGAGGTCTAATAATAAGAAGAAACAAATCATGGACAGAACACCACCTGAAGTTTGGCCCATGACCTAATTTTGGACACATCAATACTTTTCAAAGTATTTTTGCTTAGTAAACACACAGTAGCTTTTCAATCTTAAGGATTTTTAACTGTGTCACAGTGGAAACGTTATTAGATATTTTCCATTGATCTGTATAGGCATAAAAATGGTACACAGTTTGATGCTTTTGCAAATACAAATAGTTCAACTACAAACAGATGCTGCCGTCATCATTTACTTAGAGTTTGGGTTAGGGCTGGTCGATAAATCGATTTAATCGATTTATTCGAATTTGCCGTTTATAAAGATTTAATTTTGGGAAAATAGAGATTTTTTTTTTTCCCACCAGTGCACTCTTTGGGGCTTCTGTAGCTCAGAGGTCAACCCACCTGTCCCTCAAGACGTTTGGTACACACAACAKGACAATATGGCAGCTAGCAAAGAGGATCTGCTTCCCAAAAAAAGTAGTGTTTCTTCTGTAACTGGTTAGGTTTTGCAAACTTGGAGCAACGAACCTCACTGCAAAATCTGTTTGCTACGAAAATCAGGAGTACAACAAATTTGTTTCGACACCTGAYACAGAGGAACTCTGTTAAGTGCGAGACAAAATCGAATTTGGGATGAAAAAAATCTGAGATTTTCTTTTTGGGCCAGATCACCCAGCCCTAGTTTGGGTGTTGAACATTAAAAAAAAAATCCAGGGTGAAAAACTCAAATGTTATGGCCCGTCTCATCTTTCAAATGACGCTGAAATGAAAGTTACAAATGTTTGCACGTGAAACTGTTTGTCAGCAGCGTTCATGAAATAAGGGATGGATTGAATGTGTTGCTAAATTTAAATAGTAAATGTACTTGCTTGGACAAAATTGTTGGTACCCCTCATTTCACAAGTTTTATTTTATTTATTTTTTTATTCTGTTGAAGCTTGGTTGAAAAGTAATATCTGACTTTCATTTGTTCATTTCCATAGATTTTTTTTCTTTCTTTCTTTCTATTCAAGTTATTTCTGTGACCATTGTGGGTTTTTCTTTCATTAAACGAGGGGTAACAACAAGTTTGTCCACGTGTGTGTATATATATATAGTGCCTTTCTGTCCAGCCAGGAAACTCAAAGTGYTTTACAACCTGTAAGAAAATTCATGTTCAATAAACTGAAATCAATATTAAAAACACCATTGTTAAATAAAATGATTTGTAGAAGGAATCAAACCATACAACACCAGAATTCTGGATATGAGTGAGGTTTATTGTCACTTGAGCTGACAGGAAACCAACACTGGCGAAAAACCAGGAAGTTCATTAATTTATACATGTTCTTCAGTGCCTGTGTTCGCCCCCTACTGACCTACGGCTGAATCACAGGCATTCAGACAAAATTCTCATCTAATGTTCTCATAACGGTTGAATATGTGTTGTTATAATTCAGACATGTAACTAATCTATTATCAATCAAAACAWAATAGATTAAACATTGTCAACATTATAAAAAGGAAAACCTAAGAATATAGTGTTGTGCTTCTAACATCAGTACTAACCTGTAATAACTATAATTTCTTCAAACCTGTGCCCTCATTCACACACTCACACAGCACTTTATCGTTCTACAACACTAATCTAAATAAATCACCCTACAGAGACTAATCAGTGGTTTAACTCACACTCATACACTGATGGGACACATCAGAGACAGTGGGGGTTCAGTGTCTTGCCCAGGGACACTTCAACATGTGAGTGAACAATGGTGGAATTGAACTGCCAACTCTCTTACATTAGAAGAYGACTCTCCCCAACCAGTCAGCCACAGCAGCTTTCCATCATCTCTCAGGACCACTCCTGTTCAGATGGAGCCCAGCTCTCAAATGTTTTAACTCATAGTTATAATTTTAGTCTTTACACACACACACGTGGTTGTTTTGTCAAATAAATTCCATTTGGTGATGAGAAAATGCTGCTAAAGTAAATAATTTCTTTAAAAAAATAAATAAATTGTCCATTTTTTGGATAATGTCTAATGCCCCTTTTCCATGGTGTAGTGTCAGAACGGTCGTGTAAGTACGAGTCGGACCGGTTGGTTTTCCACTGATGTTCCAGTCCGGTTTCAATGGGTGTTTTGGGTGGTTGGTGGAGGTGGTTTTTATGTTTTTTGAAAAAAAGTTAATGGGCAAAATGAGAGATGGAAACACATTTGATGAATAACTTTTTGAAATTTTAAAAATTTGCAAAACTTTAGCCAATCAGTGACGAACAGTGTTATGACGTCACATTTTGGTGTCAGCTGGGGCCGGTTGGAACCATAATGAAGTAGGTACTAAAAAAGTGCCGGTTCCATGGATCTGGCCTAATGGAAATGGCTTGGAACCGTACCGACACTACACTAAGTGGCACTAGTGGAAAAGGGGTATAAGATTGTTCTTATTTTATGTTCTATATTTTACCCCAAAAACATCTAATGSGACCAAAAACTCTCTGTCCAGCTCTTTGAGAAGCTGCGTCTGCAGGAGAACCCAGGAGTGGCCGATGCGGTGAAGAAGCAGGAAGCCCAGGGAAAAGCCAACGAGCCCAGAGAGACTCTGACAAGCCGCTCGGATGGGCCTGATACCACAGAGGACAGCGGGGTGGCCCGGTCCAGGCGGTCAGAAAGCGTTCCGAACAAACCGGACAAAGGGGACATCTCTCAGGCTGGTCAGAAGTACGGGAAGGTGCGCACGCGCCACATCAACCAGCTCTTTATCCGCGGTGAGAACGTTGTTCTGGTGAACCCACAGCCACTCTGATCTCTTTCTGATTATCATCCGGGACAATAGCGCGCCATCGCTGCGACTTCATTAGATTCACATGAATCAAACTCAAACTGTTATATCATATTGATATGGCACAGAAAAGGAATTATTTTGATTAAGTAATAAAAGCTTCTTGAAAGTAATTGTCCGTTTCGTCTCCGTTCTGGTTATTACCCAGCAGGTGGCAGCATCAGTACACCTCCCCCCCACCAGCCCAGCCATTGTCGTCTCCGAGTCACTTGTCCCTTTATGTTGCTTGTCCCGTTAGTTTGAGCGGGAATGACAGCGTGGTCTCAGCGGACTTCATAAATGCATTATGAATAATTGAGTTTGTGAAGCTGGAGATTGCAGATGGCACTCAAAAGCTGTCATTTGTCTTGACGTCTCGGATTGCTTTTTACTCTTTAATGGGCACATTACCCATAAAAGCGCAATTTACCGCATCTCGTGGAAGTTGTAAAGATGCGGCGTGCTTTTGATTTATTTATTTATTTTTAAATAGGTTAGGTTCGGACGATAAGTGGCACAGAATGATTGTCACCGCCGTGTCTTTGAGTCGGAAAGTTCTTCCTGTTTTAGTTTTCCCTTAATTTGACTGCAGACACAGTGACCCTCTTTCCGTGTGTTGTAAGTCACAAGTGGGGCGCATTTTATCATTAGTTGAACTTTTGCTCATTTACTGTATATACTGTTCACATACTGGAATATTATTAGTGTAGCCAATTTAATGGCCCTCTCCAGAGAGGTAAAAAACGGGGTCAATTGTTTAATGCAAGCCGCGTTTTAGTCGTGTTTGTCACACAAAGTGCGCTCAAACAAATCTTGATCCAGTACGAGGGCGCGACACTGATTGTAAAAAGATGACCCAGAATTAGATTAGTGTGTCCTCTTTGTGTTACACAGGAAAATGTAGGACGTCCTTCTAACGTGGAGAAAAAGCTAATWTTTAATTGTTGATGAATTAGTAGAGGTGGAGAAATTAAAACGATGGAGCACTTTTAACTTGGAAAGCTTGTGTAAGAATAGATTAGATGAAGCATCTAGTTCAGTCGTCCCAATAATAACCTGTTTTAACACACCTGGGTGGGGGTTACCTGCACCGCATGTGCTCGACTATCATTTACTCTTGCCCCCCAAAAGAAAAAAGAAACTTAGTTAAACTTGCATTAAGTGAATGCAATTTTACAGCCAAGCTCTCCAGCTTCACTTTTGCTGCTTGAAGCACTTTTGAATGAGGCTAATGACACAGCGCACCAAATAACACACATCATTAACAAATTTAAATCAACTGTTTAATGTTCTCCAGAAGGAATCTCGTTGTGTAAATCAAATCAGAATKGGAATAATGCAAAAAGAAATTTGTCATTTTCTCAAAGGTTTTTTTTTTATCTTCTACCCCGTACATTTGCATATCCTAGTGTTTCAGTAACAATTCAGTTTTTAAAAAAGGAGCAGAACGATTGAAAGTAGAAAACAAGCAGATAAACAATTTCTATTGATAAACATTAGAAAACAAAAATAGATTTTGGTCATTTGTTTTAATGCTTCAGACATCAATGCAAAGGCTACTCTGTGTTACTGTGCTCAGCCTCGAGCCCTTGGGACAAAAGGAAGGTACAAGTTCAGTCCTCGTCCTCTTGAGGCTGCTGAATCCACTGTCCTCTTGTCAGTAAATTATTTATCTCAGACGTACAAAAAAAAAAAAAGAACACACATATATAGTAATGTCAGGCCGCTACGATTCAATTTTGATTATCAGTCAGTGGTTGTGAGGGTCAGGAAGCACCCATCAGCAGGCACTTGAAGCACAAAGGTGAGGTGTGCACATCTAACACAAATGTCTTAATTCGATCAAGTTTTCCTTTAACATTCTGGGCGTGTACAACCTGAACCCCACCCTCCCCCGGTTTTATAAACCTAATATGTCGTAAAACACAAGGACTTGGACTCATTGTTCCGATGATAAAAGGAACACCACAGTGGTTGTATTGATGTGCAACATTAATGAAACTGGAAGGAACTGTTTAACCAAGAAGCACAGAGTAACATTTAACACACAGATGCATTTTACAATCTTAACAGTCTGAGATAAAACCTGAGGTCCTCTGTGGGTTTTTTATATATATGCAAGCAAGCAAGCACTGGCTTGAACAAATTGGAAACATTTTCTTTTTTAAAAAAGGTGCTTGGGAGGAACAAAATATAGTAAAACAATTATATCATTTGCATGTAATCTGTGCAGACAGCATACTTGGCTACACAAGACAAAAACTTCAGTTTTCTGCAGTCCTCCTGTCTCCTTCAGGGTTAGCCGAGGAGAGCAGGCAGAGATTTTTCAGGCACTGTGTGTGCTGTAATGAAGACCCCATAAGCACTCATRAAAACTTTTCTGTTCCTGATTATCTTGCTTGGACACAAACTGACTATTCTTCATAAGTAAAAAATAGATATATTCTAATAATAAAGGCCACAAATTATGTTTTACTAAAGGAGAAATTCCTTACAGCKTTCACTGCAAATGGTCATGAACAACCCCAAGTGTACTTAAAGCCACATTTGGAGTGCTGACACCTATGTACAGACGATGTAATGTTGTTTAGATCTTCATTCACACAGGTTTGGTCTGTATGGTACAACTTGACACACTGCTACTTCATAAATTATTGCAGGGGTTCAAAATTTCTATTTACATGTCGTATGAAGAAAGAGAACCAAAAAGAAAAACAAAGAGGTAACTTGACATTCTTCAATATACATTAGAAAGTTAAAATGGTTGATCATGTTATCCAAATATACGATTAGGTTAAGATATTGAGAAGGCATTCTCAACAAAAATAAATCTGCAGCTACTAATATGTTCTTCGCTACTCAGCTGATTTCACTTGATTTGAGGTTATAAAGCAAATCCCCATTTTCTCAGGCACTTTCTCAATGACTCAATAATTAGACGAAAAGACGCACTAACTTCAGTGGGTCTGTCTCACCACCATCCTAGACCACACAGATCATTGGTTCAATCAACACACATTCATTTAGATCCACATCACTACATAACTTAAAAAAAACAATTGAGATTGCAGGGTTGTTGGTAAGAAGATTGACAATATTTCAAGTACTCTTTGTTTGGAGCTCATGATGATCCTTCACCGACGGACGACAAGATGCTGCCACCACTTCTGATAATCGTTGCCGCTTCCATCACTTTCCGAAGTTGCCAAAGTCAGCGAAGGCATCGTGTTTGGGCTGTTGGACCATTCCAGGGTTCATCCCCATTCCCATCCCCATCCCCATGGCACCAGGCATCCCCATGGCACCAGGCATCCCCATGGTCATACCTGTCTGTGGCATCCCCATGTTCATGCCCATCCCCATCATGCCCTGGTTAGGAGCCATGCCCATGCCAGCACCGGGGTGCATCATGGCATGAACAGGTGGCCTCACAGTTGTTGCTCCAAGACTCATATTAGAAAATCCCTGGGAGAGCATGTTGGCAGGTGGCTGATTGCCTGGAAATACCACGAGGAAAAAACAAAAAGGGTTAGATTCCAAAATACTCGATTGACGAGATGTTTTAGAGCAGGGGTGGGCAATCATGGTCCTCGAGGGCTGCAGTCCTACATGTTTTACATTTTTCCCTGCTCCAACACACCTGACTC